TTGGTCGTTTTTGCGTTATTTTGAGCAAATTCGTACTTCCGGTTTGAAACTAATTTTTGAAGCTGCGTCACGGCCATTAGATCTTAGTATGTATTCCAGCATGTAGACTGGACGTCTGTACCTGGGAGTACTGTATTACGTCTCTGAGTGTGCAGCGTTAATTCATGAGTAAGACTTGGTTCAAACCAATCAGCGCGCTCTATTGTGTATGGGGTGCAACTTCATTGATATGCATGCTAGCTTCAAAGACTGTACTGAAAAACAGTGTTCAGACGGCAGAGAGACGACACGTGCAAAAGAAGTGGGAAAAGAATAAGAATTGTTTGGAGATACGGGTCGTCAGTGCTGCTTTTATAACGTGCTGCAACAAAGGTCTTGTATTCATTTTTCAGCTATGAGAGCACAACGGACTCGCATGTGGATCAGTGCACGCGACAGAAATACGTTTGTACAGAACATTCTTTACTCGAGACCTTTTTGCATCTGGAAATCCGGATTTGCTGCTCGTCTCCTTTAAAAAAAGACGCAGCTCCAGTATGTGTTGATTGTCCTGTCTCTACAGATAAATGTGTGCGATCAGTGCTCTTTCTTTGTTCATTTAGATGGCAAAGTTATAGTTCGTATCGTCAGCAATACTATTTCAATGTTTAAAGACAGACCTTAGGTCAAAATGATTTTTACGTTACTTAATTTATGTTAATATCACAACAATATTATGGACTTCTGCTGTAAGAGCTGCTCTCAGAGTATAAACATGTAAAGACTGCCATCAAACTTTAGCCGACTGTCGTGTTTAATTTTCACCGCATTTTGTGACAGGATTGTCTACACACACACGGCTTTCCGAGTGTTTCTGAGTTACAGAGAAATGCAGAGGTTTTTTCTCTTATACGACATGCGGTATTAAACACTCCACTCTTTAGACATAGTCACTGTCTTTCTCCCCTGTGTGTGTTTGGTTTTACAAATGGAAACTTCCATTTTTGTTCAATTCCTTCCCCTTTTCCCTCCCCCGACACTCCAACCTAAACACGCCCACTTTCCTGACTTTTTCCAAACTAGAGGTGTGAAAACACCCTGCTGAAATGGGGAGTTTCATGGTCCTTTAAGCCTTACGTCAGGGATTCTCAAATCCAGCTTACAAGATTTACTTTCCTGCAGAATTTAGCTCTAAAGCCTGATTTATACTTCTGTGTTGAGTAATTAGCGTGACCCCCGGTGCATGCCTTGCGTGTTGCCATTTAAACTTCTGTGCATTGTTTGTGTTGCTCTGCAATAGCAAGTACAAAACGCTAGCAGGCAGTGAGGTTATGTTCCTCTGTGCTAAGTTTCTTTCCAGGTGTTTTGTTTTTCTAAACGCTATCCTTTATGTACAAGTGCTTAAACTCGCTCAGTTTGAGGCAGGAACCGGCAGACGTGCAACAATTTTAATCAAAAGGTAAACACAATTTGATTTAAAATAAAATGGTGAGGGCTGTGCAACCAAGCAAAGGCTGTGCCGGAGCATAAACATTCGCTTGACGCAGAAGTATAAATTAGCCTTAACCGCAAACAAACACATCTGAGCTTGCTAATCATTAGCTGTTTCTACCTACCTATTTTTTATTCGCATTTTGGACATGCAAATCAAAAATCGGCTGATGGAAACACCAAGACAAGCATTTTCAAAATGTAGGCACTAGGGCTGCAACAACAAATCAATTAAACCAATAAAAATCGATTACTAAAAGCGTTGGCAACGAATTTCATTGTGTCGCGCGACACGGAGACGTTTGATTAAAAAAAACACAAAAAAAAACACTTTAGCTCAGTGCGTAGCGGACTGAACAAGGCCTCTCTCCGTCTCTCGCGCACTAATACAAAGTTCAGTGCCTCAAGAAGACAGGGATGATGCGGAAGAATCACTACAGAAGCCTACTTTTGTTCTGTTTTGAAGTGAGAACCATAAAGTCCCTGGTGCTGGCGTTTTGTGTCTGGCACTGAGCCAGAGAAAGGCAGCGGGGTTAAGTTTTGTTTTCGGTATTCCTGACACACTCAGTGATAGACGGCAATAACTCAAAAAGCTCTTACCCTGAAAAGATCAAAACTGTGTTTTCTACAAAAAGACAAAGAAGTTATGTTTCACAGCTGTCTTTTTTATTTTTTGCTCGATATTTTTTAATATTTTTAATACCGTTTAAGCAGTCGCAATATGCTTTGAGCCAGAGAGCTTGCGCTGAGGAGAGCTCTCAGTAAGGGACCGTCAGAAAAGTGCTTCTTTTTTTTTTTCAGTTTTTCTTTTCGAAAACAAAACCAACTTAACTCCGCTGAAAGACGCGTCATATTTTCACAATTATGCAGCGTTTTAATCACCTAATACTTCACTTATGTTTTAGATATGTAAATACACACAAGTACTAGTAAAACAAGACATTTAGAGTTTGTAAAACACACAAGGAAGTATAACAATCCGTTCAAATATAATTTGTCGATGTGTTTTATTCCTCAGATACACATTACAGATAGTAAAAGTAAATATAAAGTTGAATCTACGCTTCTCTAAGTTCACCAGCCACTTACTTGCAGAATTGCTGAATCCTGCGTGTTCTGCTTTTATGAACGAGCCAGCGGCCGCAAGTAAACATGGAGACGTCCATCTCACGTTATAGATCACATAAATGTGTAAGTGATCGTGAATTGGAATATCAGGTAGTTGATGACATGGAGAGCAAGCATGTGAATATGTTAAATTAAAACCGAAAAAAATTAAATAAAAGGGATACATCCGTCATACATCACTGTTGTGGCTGCGGTGTGTCAAGGGACAAACATGATGTGTCGCCACGAAAACATTAAGGGTGAATGTTCTAAAAAAAAAAACTGACTCCCGGGCCAGAGAGAATCTTTTAAACACGGCAGTGAAAGAGTTAATAACAGCAGTAAAGCAGCGGTAGTAGAGTTACTTTGCATTGCAAGACTAAAGACACATTTTTATTCACTTGCCTTTTTTGGATCCATCTTTTTGACATCTGTAGTCATGTATAGCTGCACTGCAGAAAACGTTTCTTTCCTAGACATTTTGTCTCGTTTCCACTTTAAATATCTAAAACATCTTCCATCAAGACCAGACAAGAAAAATGGCAAGAGAAAATAAAGTGATGCTGAAAACTTCTGTTTGAGATTATATCTTATTAAGATAATTTTTCTTACCCCATTGGCAAACAATTTTGCTTGTTTTAAGCTAACAATCACTTAATTTTGAGGTTAAGTGATTTCTTAAGCTATTTCATGAGTCTAGCATGTATCTTTACTTAAAAACATTTAGATATTTGGATTGAAAACAGGACAAAACTAGTTAGTTTTTTATTTTATTATTATGACAGCTCAGGGATGAGCTTTTTTGAATAAAGGGTTGGAAATGAATGCCTTTTTTATCCGATTAATAAAAATAATAATCGACAGATTATTTGATTATTAAAATAATTGTTAGTTGCAGCCCTAGTAAGCACATAACGGAGTAGGATAAACTTTTTATTCAATAAGATGTGCATAAACTACGATGGAAACGCTTTTACTGAAAAAAAATTACTGTATGCACATAAATGTTATAAGAGATCATGTGATGATAAAAATTTGTGTTAATTTACAAACCAGCAAACTGAGCACATAGTAAAACATCTGAAATGTTGTTTTGGCCATTCTAAAACACATTAACCATTTCAGTATTAGTGTTATTATATTATTAAATACCCACAGGACTGTCAAGAGTGTCTGTGCTTCGCATCAAACGACTTCAAACGCCACAACTTTAATTGAGTGTCAGCATTGACTTCTGATTTATTAAATAAATTTTAAAAAGTCAGGCAGTTTCTCCTACTGCAGTAAATTCCATTTTTACTTTTGATATCTTGGCACCAGTTATTCAGGAAGCGACGATTTTGTTCGCTTTGACTCGGATGGAAACGCTTCTATATTCGCAAGTCTTTCATGCCATATTCCAGTTTTACGCATACATTTAATTCGAATTTTTAGATGGAAACACAGCTAATGTTTTTAGGATCATTTGAGAGAAAAAAAAAGAAATAACTATTCTTTTTATTTATTATTTTTTTTATTAAAGGCACAGGTAAAATTGTTTGATCAGGGTTAGAGCCAAACTCTGCAGAGCATTGGCCCTACAGGGTAAATCAGAGGAATCCTACTTTAAATAATGTCACTAATGTTTTTCTATTTAAAAAAAAAGTTACTTTTTCCATATAGCAAATGCTCTCATATGATTTATAGGATATGTATGTACACAGATTTTGTGATATTAATATTATCCTGCTTTGTCTGTACAGTCATGCACATACTTGTTTGTAGAGCAAGTAGCCTAGTTTGGCCGTTTATTGTTTCTAGTAATTTCTCCCATAAGTAACTGAATAGGAAGTTCTAAAACATCCGAAAAACGAGCGTATTTCAAGTCTAGTAGATTAAGGAACATAAATAAAAATGTTTAAATATCAGAATTTTTAAATTAAAAAAATGGCATTAATACAGCCAAAATAACCAAAAGATTCATCACTTTCAGTAAATGAATGAACTATAGTTAAACCTTTGTGGTAACTTTACAGGTATCTTTTTACAACATTACCTATAATATAACCGTGGTGTTTAACGTAAACAGTGATGCGTTGATCAACCCATCACACGCTCTACGTTTTTCCACTTATCGAATGAACAAAAAGCTGAAGATCAAAACGAAACCATAAAATTACAGGAAACGGTCGCTTTCAAAAGCATTGAAACCATTTTATCAAGTGTGCCATTTCTAGTCGAAAAAGTTTTAAAACGTTGTTTTAAATGACCAGGCTTGCCTGGTTCTCCGACGGAGGTTAAACTTATTGACAAAAAAACAAACATTCCGTAACATACAATTTTCGAACAAGCTGCAAAAACATCAACTCAAGGAATGAAACAGCGAACGGAACAAGTTCACAAGTTCACAACAAGTTCACGAACGGAAGAAACAGTTTACTTACTGTACACTCGTTAATGAAATGCTCCTCTGTTTACTAGGAATGTATAGGAATCTGCAGCTCTTTGCTATCAAGCTAGCTAGTAATAACGTTCAACAAGCTCCACATGAGTTTTTATCATCGTGGGGCGGAAGATAGCTCATGTTGCCAAGTCCGCTTGAAAATCTGAAGTCGGTACTAAAGTTACAGTTTTGTTTTTATCATCATGCTTAAATAAAATATATTTTAATATTTTTATTAAAAAACGTTTGTCATTGATTTCATATTACTATTTTGCTGTGTTGTGTAGTTTCTTCAGTACAATAGTGATCGATTTTTCGCTATATTTGCGAGGATCTGGCAACGTAATAGAGAGAAAAGGTAATAACAGGTATGCGGTCAAAGATGAAGAGCCCTGAAATATAACTTTATGTATATAAGCCTAAAATTATTAATATTTATAACCAGAAAACAATGTAATATTTAGTTAAGTAATATTTTTTTTTAGATTTTATTATAATTTTTATGTATTTTTTTTAAGATTCTTCAAAGTTTAATTTGTTTAACCCATTTCCCCCATTAAAATTAATAATTAAATATTATATACATTTACTATTTTTTTAAATATTGTTTTAATTGTCCCATCATCTTCTCTGTGAACTTATCAAGAATCAACTAATAATATGAGTTATGATAAAATTGATTCACCATATTCTAATAAAATGTTTATTATCAAATAACAGCTAAGACCTTTTGTTTATTTAGTTGAATACATTCATATTGCTTCTAATAAGAATCTCTACAGTCATAAGAAACTATAATCATGCCATAAAGTAGGATTTATTAGATTTTTAATTGAGAGGACATGAAATTTATAATAGTATATATAAAGAAATATTCAATGATACTTACACGTCAATGATACTTACCCTCAAGCTCTTTTCAATCTTTTGAAGCAACCAAAAAAAAGTAAAAAAATTATATATATATATATATATATATATATATATATAAAAGAAAAAAAATTATTTGCCCTTCCAGCTCCAACCCAACACTGGGAAACACACACTCACATTCACTACGGCCAATTTAGTTTATTCAATTCACCTGTAGCGCATGTTTTTTGGATTGTGGGGGAAACCAAATACAAGGAGAACATGCAAACTCAACACAGAAATGCCAACTGACTCAGCAGTATATACCCAAAGTAATATTATATATATATATATATATATATATATATATATATATATATATATATATATATATATATATATATATATATATATATATAATGTTTTACCTTTTATGTATTAGTTTTAATTTTTTTATTATTATTATTATTATTATTAATTTAGATTTTTTAAAAAATAAATAATTAAACATGTAAAAGTGTGAACTGTCCCATCAGACAGTTTGACTGGGAAGGGGTAAGAAGCTCTGGGAAACGGGGCCTTTGAGGTGTAATGTTACTCAGACTCAGCCATCTGCTCTCAGCAGGACGAAAGACACCTCTCACCAGGGAGCCTGAAACTCTCACTGTTATCAATCGTAATAAATGTTCCCTGGTTCCTTTCAATGACTCGATCACAACAGCTCAGCTCAGTCCATGGTATTAACATGCATTTTCAAGGATCCAACTACAAGTTCATTTCTGTTGACGTTGAGTGTTAGGTTAAAAATATTTTTTAAGCCTATTCACTGTTCTTAAAAAAATGAACTTAACACACACTTTCACAATACTTTCCTTAAAAAGTAGCTAAGCAACACTTTTAGTTACTTTTGAAGTGAGTTAATATATTCCCCAACACTGCACTGTAGCAGTGTACACTGTAAAATATATGCAGAAATTAGCAGTTTTCCATATTTTGTAAATGTTTTAATTGTTTATGCTTTTTGAATTGCATCATAGAATATTTATTTTTCTTCAAACAATGTTTACCCTTAAAAGTTTCAAAAAGTGACTTCTTAACATATGTTTAGTTTACAGTGATACAAGGTCTTCATTCATTTATTCATTCATTCCACCAACTTATCCAGTTTTACGCAGCGGATGCCCTTCCAGTTACAACCCATCTCTGGGAATCATCCATACACACTCATTCACATTCATACACTACGGACAATTTAGTCAACAAAATTCACCTGTACCGCATGTCTTTGGACTGTGGCGGAAACCACAGCACCCGGAGGAAACCCACGCGAACAGAGGGGAGAACATGCAAACTCCACACAGAAACGCCAACTGACCCAGCTGAGGCGAACCAGCGACCTTCTTGCTGTGAGGCGACAGCACTACCTACTGCGCCACTGCATCGCCCGTTTCCTTCAGCGTAGTTACTTTATCCATCTGTGGTCACCACAGCAGAATGAACTGCCAACTTATCCACCATGTTTTACACAGTGAATGCCCTTCTAGCTGCAACTCAGTACTGGGAAACATTCATACTGTGCTGAATTATCTTTATCTAAAAGCCTAATTAAATAAAAAACAGAATCTCTCTTGGCTATATATTTTAGCCAGAGTTTAGGACCATCTTTTGTAAAGTTGTTCAAGGAATGAATCGGATTCATACTTTAGCACACAAGGTAACTTGATGGGTTCTGTGAATGAAGCCTATGTGTCCACTCCAGTAAAGATAATTAATAAAATATACTTTTGTTAATAAAATAAAATTCAGTGAAAAATTAGAATAAACAAAATACAAAATCAGAAAACAAAATCCTTTATCCTCTGTTGAGGATAAAGTAAAGTACCAACGACATACAGTATAGAGAAGTCAGAAGCGCAAATCTGTTCTGTATGTTTCAGCTTTTTATACCCCTCGGCTAGATATAGTCTAGGAATATGCTCATATACACATAGGTACTGCATACCCCTCATGCATAACTAGGGATTTACACATAGTATTGTGCTCATACACATAGTAGGTAAGAACAGATTACAGATTAAAGACCAGCTCTGGTTAAATCATTCATTCATTCATTTTCTTGTCGGCTTAGTCCCTTTATTAATCCGGGGTCGCCACAGCGGAATGAACCGCCAACTTACCCAGTAAGTTTTTACGCAGCGGATGCCCTTCCAGCCGCAACCTTCCAGCAGCAATCTTTGGGAAACATCCACACACACATTCACACACACACTCATACACTACGGACAATTTAGCCTACCCAATTCACCTGTCCCACATGTCTTTGAACTGTGGGGGAAACCGGAGCACCCGGAGGAAACGCGAAGGCAGGGAGAACATGCAAACTCCACACAGAAACACCAACTGAGCCGAGGTTCGAACCAGCGACCCAGCGACCTTCTTGCTGTGAGGCGACAGCACTACCTACTGCGCCACTGCCTCGTCCCTGGTTAAATCATAAGTTCAAAAATCCTGCTTGTCGGTTAAACAAAGAGTTTGTGTCTTAGGCAAACAAATTTATAATCATTCCAAATATATATTAAAAAAACATGAATCAAGATTTTTTCAGTATTATAGTCATACATGCATAGTGTGCCTACGTAATCATGCACTGAGAGTTGTGTAAGCTGAGCAGTGAGGTCAGCCAAAGTTCTCCCAGCTGGTCCAGCGAGGAGGGGGAAACTGCAGATTTGGATTCAGGCAGATCTACGGTCGAGGCAGTTTTACACCCCTATTGTTTCTGATGTGTCCAGTAGAGAGAAGCAGTATAAGAACTTTATCATCACACCAGACCAAACGCAACCCAATGAAGAGGTATGTTAAATACGTGTTTAAAACATTAGCGAACATGAAACTTTTTTTAAATTAGAGTAAGACTGATATGAGCGTATGTCAATGCGTAAACGAATTGGTGTAATACAATTCACACGCAGAAACAAAACAACAGCAATTGAGTTAGTTTGACTCAATTTCAGCTAAATTTGTAAGCTAGCTACATGTTTTACATCTCACTTTCTTATAGGCTAATTTGTCTGTCTTTAGTCTGCATAACGAGTTAAACAGCAGTAAACAAACGCAATGCATGCTGTTACCTTTACCACTGTCCATTCTGCACTACAAACCTTTATAAACCGTCAAAGAAAAGTAAACTGGAAACTCATGTTAAGCTTCATTTATTCATTCATGTTCTTGTCGTCTTAGTCCCATTGTTAATCCGGGGTCACCACAGCGGAATGAACCGCCAACTTATCCAGCACGTTTTTACGCAGCGGATGCCCTTACAACCGCAACCCATCTCTGGGAAACATCCACACACACACACATACACTCATACACTACGGACAATTTAGCCTAACCAATTCACCTGTATCGGATGTCTTTGGACTGTGGGGGAAACCGGAGGAAACCCATGCGAACTCAGGGAAAACAAGCAAACTCCTCACAGACACGCCAACTGAGCCGAGGTTCTAACCAGCAACCCAGCGACCTTCTTGCTGTGAGGCGACAGCACTACTACAGCCACTGCTTCGCCATGTTAAGCTTCACCCTGAATTATTATATTAATAATTATTATAAGAATTTAAGTAATTTTTATATATTTAATAATTTATTTAAAGATATTTATTTTCTCATGGATTATAATACACTAGCATGGTCTGGGTTATCAGCCAATTCCACACTACAACTACACTACATTATTTTTAAGTTGCACTGCATTCAATTACATTTAATATAATGCAATCCTGTTCTAGTTTAAACAATTGAAGTATCATATATCTATAAATGCATAGCGAAACCCACAATTATAAATATAGTCTACTAATGTTGTGCTATATAGTACATTTTTATGTATAGCATGAAAGTTTGCATTGCTAATACATTCATATTGTTTATCACTTATTGTTTCAGAATTTTTATTGGAACAATTTGTTACAAAGAAAGTACTTAAATATGTGGAAGTCAGGATTACAATTTGTAGCTGCAAATAACAAAAAATAAATAGAACTTGATCCTTTTGTTATACCTTAAACTGTCAGCATATCCTGGGGGATACAACTCATACAATTCTTAAATCATAAATCAAATATTTAAAAATATATATTTTGATATGCTTAACATAGGTCCAGATAATATATATATATATATATATATATATATATATATATATATATATATATATATATATATATATATATATATATATATATATATATATATATA